GCGTGTTGATAGTAGCAGCCTATACTTGCCAGCGCCAATAATACCCCCAATATCATCCTCGCCAAGAACAACGACGACGACGACGGCGACGACAACAACACCAACAACAACAACAACAACAACAACAACACCATCAATAACAATAACAATAACAATAACAATAACAATAACAATAACAATAACAATAACAATAACAATAACAATAACAACAACAACAACAACAACAACAGAAACGTCAACACCCGCGCGGCACTGACGCTGCTGCTGCGGCCCGCTCGCCTCCGCCTCCCTCTGATGCCGTGCCAAGTTTCTAGAACGCGGAACCGCCGCCCTCGAGTCCCGCCTATACACACAATACACGTACACGCAGCACAAGATTCGCCAATGTACGTGTGCATCGTTGCTTTGTGCTTTGCCACGCTGAACCGCACAAGGTTTACCATGGTTGCTTCTGGTCGCGCTGTCCATGAGCGCCCGGCGGTCCGCGCGGTTGGCATGGGGACGACGCCTGTGCCTGTGCCTGTGCCTGCACCGCCGGCATCCACCCAAGTCCCCAAGCTGATGCAGACATAAGACGTGGCTTGCATCTGCTCGTGCTCAACTCGCGCTCAGCGCCCGTCTTGCAAGGCCCGTGGCAGCACAAGCACATGCGTGTCACGTGACGCGCCCTCGGCCCAATGCGGCCAAGGCGCGTCGCTTCCGAAACAAGGCTGAGCCGTTGGTGGAGCGCTTCACAGACGGGTGACAAGGCCGACATCACCTCTGCACTCCCACTCCCTCCGTCACAGCCAGCCACTCCGCCATTCCACCCGTCTTCCACACACACACCCGCACACATGCCTCGACTCGCACTCGCACACACACGGTCGGATGGCCGGATCCTCCCGCCTCACCGGACGCTCCATGATACACTGCTGCTGCCGCTGCTGTATTACCCCACGCCTGATACCCAAATCCCGCCTTGATAGGCAGTGCGCTAGCCAAGTACTAGCCGCGCATCTCCCCCAGCTTCTGCTCCACTAGACGATTCCCGTCCCTCGCCGCTTATCTGCCAAACCCTCTCGTTCGGCTGCTCAGCCTGCTGCCCTCTTCTCCGACCTTGCGTCTTATGCAACTGCACATGAACCCTCCATTCGCTCAGGAGCTGGCGCGGCAGGCTCATGCCCCCATTATATCATTCCCTGCACATGGCGGACCCTACCGCTGATCCCGCGTCCGCGCCCGCCTCTATGCTCCAGCTAGCCATGCCCGACACTTCCCCGGCTGACGTCAAATCTGTCAACAAGACAGCGTCCAACGCCCCGAGTGCTGCTAGTCTCAGCCGCAGGAAGCAGTCCAAAAGCCGTAATGGTACCGCCTCGCCTGGCTAGCCACCCTCGACATGTCACCTTGCTGACACTGTGCCTAGGCTGCAGTACTTGCAAAGCAAAGCGCCTGAAGTGTGATGAGAAGAAGCCCACCTGCGACCAGTGTGCCAGGCGTGCTGTGCCCTGCGGTGGCTACAAAAAAGAATTCAAGTGGAAGCTGTTTGAAGAGCCCACCGGCAAGGCGAGACCGACTGCCAGGTCTCAGAAATCACGCTTGCCTGCCCAACCCTCCCCGGCAAGCATCCACTCTGCTGCACAATACCACCATGACGCCAGCTCATCCTACCCTGCCTACTATGCTCCGCCTCAGCCCTCTGCCCCCTTGATGCACAACCCGCCCATCTGTACATCCTTTTCCCAGCCATCGTTTACGCCACGGGAAGATCCCGTCACTGCCCCGGCGCCATCGGCCTTCCTGACTACCCCTCAGCTGATATCACCTGTCGACTCGCATGCACCAGTCTCTTTGGCATCATGTAGCATGTTTGGCTCTGAGAGCACCGGAAACACCAAGACGACAGCTGGTTCTAGCGTCTCATCGGGTCAATCACCCCGTCTGGTAGATCTCCTTATGCCAGGGACAGACCTCAGCGTACCTCCAGAGGAGTACTCGTCGTTCCTGACCCAACATGAAGCCTTCTATCAGCCCACAGGCTTGACGCCACCACCGCCCATGGGCGATGACCATGGCATTGAAGAACTAGTGCGCGAGGCTCACCAAGCTCCGGCAACCTGGGTCGTGCGACTGTCTTCTCCTGCCTCGTCAAGCTCAAACGGATCGTCGCCAGACTCGCCAGAGTTCCGAATACCTGCTCACATACCACTGCCACCCTGGTCACCAGACTCTCTATCTCGGCGCTACCATCGCGATACATGCGGCGTGCTGTCCCTCAAAGACGGCCCCACTGAGAATCCATGGCGCACTCTGATCTGGCCGCTGACCCAAGAATGCCCGGCACTCTATCACGCCATCATCTCCATGACGTCGTTCCATCAGTCCAAAGACACGCCCACCCTACGCATCCAAGGCATTGACCATATGCGAAGTGCGGTCCATGCGCTGGCTGCAGGTCTGCAGGACATGCGCGTCGACGCTGCCATCTCAACAACCCTCGTACTCGCTTTTGCTGAGTCTTGGGACCAGCACATCAGCACAGGCATCAACCACATCAAAGGCGCAAAGGTGCTGATCAACCAAGCACTCATACAGCACCGCCAAATGCCCCTGCAGGGCGAGGAATGGGCTCGCTTGAAGTTCCTGTGCAATACCTGGATCTACATGGACGTCCTCGCCCGTCTGACTTCGACCGACGAAGATGAGACTTATGATGTAGACATGGTCCAAGAAAGTATCTATGCAACCGGCGACACAGACTCGACCCTTGATCCCCTCATGGGCTGCGCACATACCCTCTTTCCCATTGTTGGCCGTGTGGCAAATCTGGTGAGAAGGGTGCGAAAGTCTGACAGCAATGGTCCTGAAATCATATCCCAGGCAGCGCAGCTCAAAGCCGGGAGGGGAGTGCAAGGCAGGTGCACAAGCGTTGGGCAGGGTCTAGAGATGCTGTGCCAGGTGTGCCAGCACGCTGATTACAGGCGCCCAGGTAGTGCAAGGGGGGGGGGAGGTACTTGACTGTCAAATGTGCCGGTCATTTTGGATAGGACAAGGTGTGGTGGAAGTGAGTGACAGTGGAAACAGTGTATTGTGGCAGTCTAATGCAGATGGGAATATTCAGCGACGTGTGTAGGGAATGAAGAGCGTGGCTGCAAAACAATAAATCGTGCGACATTTACCTCCTAGAAGAGGGATTCGTCCCGGAACCAGCGAATGTGCTAGGCGTTGTGGGAATCGCTAAAAGGCTACTCGTGCCCAACTATCTATGGCCTTATCACAGACACCTGCCCAAACGTCAAAGTGACAAGCAACATTAAAGTGCAATAGTGCATGTCTAGATGCTCGAGTCTGAAGTGTAGAGTCGTAAAAAGAAATGAACGCGCATGTAGCAGCTCGCAGAAATGCATACTCTGGCATCCTAGGAACGGAATGAAAATGGTCTTAACCAAGGAGAATTTCCCAACTCCAGTCCTTCATAACACCTAGCCAGTGGAGTCGTCCCTTGACTGTGATTTCTGGATCTATAAGATGCATATCGGAGGCAGGTGTTTGTCGCCAATCGGAATTGACTGTCATGTCTGTATCAGGATAGGCGCCAAACTCACCACTCGGCGGCATATCTAAGTAGCTTTCGGCACAAGCATCTTCAACCATGGCCATGCGTTCAGCTGCATGTGCATCTCTTCGGCTCCAGACTTCCTTTGTGACTTCCAAACATCTTTCAATTATCCCCAACTTCATCCGCTTGGACATGAGCTGCCAGCGCGCCTTGACCCATTCACGCTCATCGGGATTGACAACCTCGCAGCCAGCTGCCATGAGAGGATAGATTTGCACAATGATGGAACGAGAGCGAGGATCAACCGTCGCCAACTTGGACAAAACCTTCCTTGCAAGTGTACTCGGAGACTGGGATGGGATTTCTGGAACCGCCTGGTGCAGATAGAGCAGCGTCGCATACTGGTAGGCAACGGCAGTCTTGATTGCGTCGTGTGGGCTCGTTGTTTCGTCTTCTGGGTCTTGGATGAAAGAAGGGGGTGTCCAGTCTCGGAGTTGCCCCATTTCCCAAGCAGCAAATTAGCCCGAAAAAGAAAATCAACAATTTATTCAACCTACTTCCCTAGCCCCTTGTTATCCAAACATTAACACAAACACATATATACCCTAAACCACTCCCTCCCCCTAACCCCCAACCCCCCTACTCAATCTCATCAAACACACATATATCCAAGCATCCTCCCTGAAACCCCCCCCCCTCCGAAATTGCCGCCTCCCCCATGTGTAATCTCCCGCTCATCTTCTCCAGGTACCGAGAGTACGCATGTTGATATGTACTCGCCCGCAATTGTTGCAGCCCCGTTTCACAATGCCAGGGAATATGTTTGTTGTGCTTGAATTAGGGTTGCCCCCCCCCGCCCCCTCCCTGCTTGTATGTAGAACTAACTAGGGTTGGGTTGGGTTTGGGATTAGGATTTGGGGAAAGGAGTGCCTGGTAGATGGGTGTAAGTGTAAGTGTAAGTGTAAGTGTAAGTGTAGGTGTAGGTGTAAGTGTGACGATGGGGAGATGGAGGGCAGGCGTTTTGTTTTTGTGTGGTAGTATTGGATGTGGGAAGTGATGGTTGTTACGGGAAGTACTTGGTAGAAGTGAGGGGGGTTAGATGGGATTAGTTGAAGGGGTTACAGTAGGGTCTTTTTTCTTCTCTTCTTCTTCTCCGTTTATCATGGAATCCTTTCACACACACACATACATCACATTATAAAGCAAAATGAAGCGGAAAATAATCGTCATGAGGGTATATTTCCAACCCCCAAATCCCGCATCACTGGTATAACCTGGACAAAACACAATGATGAAAAAAAAATCGAAAACGACCAACAACGCCAACAACGCCAACATTTCCCTTGATGTTAAAGACGAAAAAAAAACGTAGAAAAAAAAAGACTATTCAACGACGCACGCTCAACTGCCTTGCTGATGACCATAATATTCCTCCAGCTGGCGACTGTACTTGACCCAGGCCTCCCTCTCCGAAGACATTGCCTCGATGATCTTGTCCTTTTCCTCGTGGCGCCTATGGTGGTCCTGGAGGGACTTGTTCTTGTACTCGAGGGACTTTTGCAAGTCCTGGACCGACTGGTCCTTGAAGGCCAGCGACTTTTGCAAGTCGGCGATGGCCTTGTCCTTGAGCTCCAGGCACTTGTGCTGGTCTTGGAGACACATGTCTTGTGTCTCGAGGCACAGGCCTTGCTCGCGGACTTGGGCCTCCAGCGCCGCGATGCGCGCTTCCAGCGCTGACACCGTGCCCATGTGGCTCTCCGAGACCGCATACGTGGCGGCGCGGCACGCCGGCGTCATGTTCAGGCACGGGGCCTGTTAGAGGTGGAATTGCTTTGGTTAGAAATGGGTCAAGTGGGCACTGGGCACTGCGTGCCGGGTTAGACTAACGTTGACTTTGATGTGGAAGTCAGCCATTGCCTCGTTGATGTCGAAGCTGGTTGCCGGTTGTGCGGACATGGTTAGTGGTAGTGGTAGTGGTAGTGGTAGTGGTGGTGGTCCTGGTGGTGGTGGGCGCGAGGTGGTTCTGGTTCGACGACGCTGCGGCGAGAGGTTCGTGTGTGATTGTGGTGGAGAGCTTGGGAAGAAGGCGAAGCATCATGGCCAGCGAGGTTTATATACCCCTCGTGTGGGGCACAAGTTGCATCGTGAAGGTGAATGAGGAGGTGAAAGCGGAAATGAAGACAGTTGGGTGAGAGCGAAAATGACGTCTTGCTATTTGGGTGAACTCGGGAGAGCATCATGGCATCTACACACAAACTCATTCCCTTCTCTACAGTTCACTCCTCGCTATTCATGCTTATTCCGATTTCATCGCCGCCAGCCCTGCTCATGAGCCCTTCTGCACCAGATCCGACACTTGTTGTTCAATGGCCTTGTCTTCGAGGCCCTTGAGCGGCAGCTTCTTCTCCTTTCCAAAGTCTGCAATGGGCGGCTATTGTCAGCATTCCATTCCTCGTTCACCGTGACTTGGGCTACGCACCGAATCTCGCATAGACGGTGGGCTCGGTGCCGCTGGCTTCTCGGATCATAATGGGAATGGACGGGTTGGCCTTCTTCATGGCGGGATAGCTCCGTGTGAGAAAACTCCTAGCAGCTACATCAGCTCTGTCTTTGATTGTCCCATGGCGCGCAATCGCATTGCGACGGTTTCGCTGGGAGGTGCATCCAAAAGGCGCATACCTGGTCGCGGCGCTGTGTTCGCTAGTCTGGCAGAACAAGAAGCGCAGCTCCTTGAGCCCGTTTCCGAAAGCTTTCGAGGCCATGGCGAGGGACAGCGGGGGGCTTGGATCGGGCTGCGTGAGGCTCTCAATTGGGAGGATGTGTCGTCACTCTCCAGCGAGCCCGCCGCGCCGACATTCAATGTTCGTCAAGCAGCTGTCCCAAGCGCGCTTTACCCAAAGTGGTTTGGCCGTCCGGAGCAACGGCCATTGTTAATCCCGGATTTGTCCTATCCACCGTCTTTCAGGGCCCGACATCGCGACGACGACAACGACGACCTCACCCTGCCAATCGTCCCGGACCTGGTTGCTACCTTTGCTCCCGACACCTCGATTCTTGTCTCCCCCCCCTCCACCGACGCAGAGTGAGAGGCTAAATACCAGCAATCATGTCGTTCCGCCCCGGCTCCCGCATCTTCAGCTCCTTCCGACCTTTCTTCCAGCGCGCAAATGCCCGCCGACGAGTCAACACAGCTGCCAGCGCCGAGCCCACTGGCTTCGCAAAGTTCTGGAACAGCCCCATTGGGCCCAAGACTGTGCACTTCTGGTACGCCTGTCTCCATGCTTCTTCGTCCGTGGTATCTGCGACAACATTTTCGAAATGCTGGCGGGCTTCCCGTTTTCCCCGCAATCTCCGAACGTGTGTGTGTCGCATGCGCGGTTCCTTTACCCGGCATGCATTTGGCACAACGCACGACAGCAACAGTATGCTGACAAGTTTGTTTCGAATAGGGCTCCCGTCATGAAATGGGGCATGGTGCTCGCTGGCGCTTCCGACTTCACGCGCCCCGCCGAGTCGCTCTCCTTCACCCAGAACTTCGCCCTCATGTGCACTGGTGCCATCTGGACACGCTGGTGCTTCGTCATCCGCCCCAAGAACATTGCTCTTGCCGCCGTCAACTTCCTCGTCTTCTGCGTCGGTGGCACACAGGTCGGCCGCATTTACCTTTACAACCAGAGCTTGAAGAACACAGAGGGCCAGGCAAAGGGCGAGATGCAAGACTTGAAGCACACTGCTCAGCAAGCTGAGAAGGCGCTCAAGTAAGTGTTTACATGGGAATGAACGGGCGATAGTATGAGGGTTAAGTCGTTGTTTTCTCGCATCAGGGCAAGGAAAGGCGAGTGGGAGAATGCCGAACAAGAAAAAATGTACCATCATCTATCTTGTACTATCCTCCACTGCATGAGGTTTGAATCTTGAAGCATATAGAGGAACTCATCCTCGAAGCCTTTCTCCAATTCGGCCGTGCTGCTCTCAACTTCTGATATGCAGGGTGCTGTCTACAAGTGATTTTGGGTTGGCACGACTAGACGTACATCTCGCAATCTGTTCATGCAGCATATATTACATTCACCATAGCTAAGGCGCCGTGACATACATAGCATACTATACAAAAAAAGGGTCAACCGCAACTCCTGAAAGAAAAAGAAAAGCAACTCAGGGCCCTGGGACCCGGACCCAAAACGCCAATGCACATCGGACACCCTGCATTGTACCCAAAAAAAAGCGCCGTTCAATTAAGAGACTTGGTTTTTGAAAAATAAAGAAGAGAAATAAATCCAAAAAAAACATCTGGCGTGGGCATCACGTCCGAGTAATTTTACACCGCAGTCCTGCTTTTTTGTATATGATAAAAAAAAAACTAAAGAGGTGGAGAGATAAGTATGGAAAAAAAAGAGAGAGACGAAAAAGCCGAGCCACAGAAAAAATAAACAAGACCTTAGTAATAACTCAATCCCGACACCCTAGCTTTCTTCTTGAACTTTTTCTTCGCCTTGGTAGGCGTGGGACTGACGACATCTCTGCGGCCACCGGGCCTTTCTCTCCTCTTTTCCTCGCTGCCAGTGCCCGCCATTTTGCTTACGCCGCCCGTCATGAAGTCGCCGTATGCGCTCTCGGCGTAAGCCGGTGTCGTGGTGCCACTGGGCATCCATTCGCTGGTGTTGTCCCATGTGGTGCCATCTGCGTGTGCGGCGCGCACGCCTTCAATGTAAGCCTCCATTCTGCTGCGCTCGCTATTGTCTTCGAGGCCGCAGCCGCAGCCACAGCCGACTACGCATTCGCCGTCGTCCATCCACACTTCGTCGCCCATGCAGTCCATGTGTGCAACGTGGCCACATGCAGGACACAGGTGGAAGAGACCCGAAACACGGATCCAGCAGATGCTGCAGCTGTACATGGGTTCCGATTCAACCGTCCCAGAAGGTATCGTGCTGAGCGTCTGACGTGAGCGGCTATCGCGCAATGACGAGCCGCCAGAGAGATTGGATGTACCCCGTGATAGACTTGGTCTGCTCGCCCGGCTCAGGGGTGGCTGCAATTTGGATTGGTCAGGTGAGGTACTGAGTCCAGCAAGGCTCTCGTCAAGCTCCTGAGTGGGTGTGCGAGCTGGTATAGAAAGACGCAAATACTGCTCGGGAGGAATGAATGCGTCCATAGGTAGGTCCGCTATCTGCTCTTGCAGGATGGTTGCCATGGTGCTGGGCTGGAATTCGGTGGCCTCTGGGTTGAAGGAAAAGTGTCTTGGAGATGCCACAGACATCCGCTTCATTTGAGATGCAGTGGGCGTTGGGGGCGCCTGTGTTGAGGCTCTTGATGCATGTCGCGCTGGTTTCCCATGATCATCTTCGTCGCTGGACCGCTCTAGTGCCAGGGAAATCGAGCCAGATTTCGAGCTGGTGCGTAATTCATCAGTTGGAAAGTACGACACAAGACCGTTGAACTTGAGTACTTCGGCGCGAGCACTGACTAACCCCCAGCGGTTCAGCATCTCGGCATACTGCTCCCGCCAAACACGATGCAGCCAGTTTTTACTTGAATCCAGCAAAGGCGCACTGAAGCATGCCTCATCGTCAAATTGGTCTTGGTTTTTGAGCGTAACCTTGATAGCTCTACTGTCGTCGCCGTCTCGAGGCGTACCAGGCGCAGTGCGGTCTTTAGCGCCTGTTGCACTGTAGCTGCCTTCATCATCAACCTTCTCGTAGTCCGAGTCGGATTCGCCAATGTAGTTGACATCGACCTGCTCGGATTGTCCGAAACTTGCCCGCTTTCCATGCTTCGGGCGTGGGGCCGCCATGTTGCTCTGATCGTGTGAGTCGCTTCCGTAGAATGTTGTTGTACCCCAAGTAACTCCACTAGTGGGCGCGGATGTAGAAAGATCCTCGATACGTGACCTTACTGGCGGCGAAGAAGACATGGCATTTGAGAATGGCCGTGACAAGGCTGCTACCGCGCTCGCAAAGTTCGCCGTTGAGCTCTTCTTGTGAGCTGAATGGCCATGCTCTGGGGATATCCCATATGGCGTATTGACCGCTGTCTGAGCATTTCGCATCGGGGCTGCCTGGGGAAAGACGGGTGGTGTATTGCTAGTAGAGTAAGGCGTAACGGGGTCAGAATTTAATGTATCGCTTCCCCAAGGGCCATTCGAGCTCCCGTGGCTTCCATAAGTGTCCAGGTTTTTGGCAGATTTTTGAGACCCAAAGTCATTGGACGGTGTTGCAAAACGTGAATATGAAGGCGTAGACGGAACAGAAATGCTTGGTTTGAACAAACTCCATGCCGCGTCTGGTGACGAAAAGTAGTCTAGTGAGAACGCTGGTGCTTCCATAGACATTGGGAGCTGGCACTGCCGCATTTTGGCCATAGCAGAGGTCACCCCTTCACGAGCCGCAGGCTCAGCGAAGATACAAGACAGCATGGCAAGCATCTGAACATCTGCGAGATGTTCAAAGTGGTTAAAAAGCGAAGGTATCAGCCGTGCGACAATAGAATGATGACCCCACTTGACCCTGGCCTTCAGCGTAGGATTAGCCACGTTGTCTGCCTCGTCAAACGCGAGATCAAGGCCGCTATCCTTGCGCTTGATCTTGACGAGAGCCCTCCTGGCAAGCACAAGAACCTGATCCCTCCGATATTGCTGGGGTAGTATCTCCACTGGCACTTCGTTACTCAGAATCAGCTTGCACAGCATCCAAATATCGGCAAGGTCCTCGTATCCGTGTTTCCTCGCTACGTCAGAGTTGTGCTGGCAAACGAACGGCCCAGGGCCAAAGATGCGGTATTCCTTGGCAAGAACCCGTTTACTGGGCACCAAATCATCCGTTGCTGCAAACAGAACAGATACGGTCGATTTTGGCTTGGACGGCTGTTTTGCTACACCACCAGAAGAAGGCAATGAGTTCCGCGACTGAAACCGAGAAGCGGACTTCTGCCAAGCCAGGGGAGGCTGGAAGTTTCCAATGCGTGCATTCGCGCCGTGGTCGGACCCAGATGAGGAAGACGGCGTGGAAGATGTCTCCCACGAACCGACAGAAGAGGATAGTGACGATCCTCCATCAGAATCATCCGCACGATGGGAAGTGAAGCGTCCAAAGGAGTCAAAGATGTCGTTCTTCAAGCCGCTTTGACGAAGGCTTCGTGCAATCTGGAATCTGAATACTTCTGAATCAGGGGCTGACTTCACGGGAGGTATCCTTGCGACTACAAGAGATCCATCGGCTGAAAACCGGGCAGTGCACTGGATCGGAAGGGGAATGTTGGCGTTCATGTGGGAAGACTGCATCACATCGTCGGTGAACTCGCCTTCATGATCCTCATCCTCACTGGAGCTTTCTCCTGGTAGTGGCCCAAGGTCCTCTAATGGCTCTACGCCGTCGGCGAGATCCAGGCTGTCGTCCAAAGCACGTTCGCCCAAAGCATACGAAAGTACTGCTTCAAGGGCGTCACGCTCTTGCTCCGCACAGGTAGCAGCAATACGGTGCATGTTGTGAACCAATTCTTCTTGCTGCTCTCTGCTAATTGACGCTGTCGTCCTCTCAAATTCAATATCAAGTGGAGTCGGTATCCTGTGGCGACCAGAATCTGGATGTGCGCTCTCAATGGCCTTAGGATACGCAGACGGGAACCGGATTGTGAAGCGAAGGAACACGAGTTTTGAGCCATCGGTGACGGGATCATGGTCACCCCAGGGTCCATTGAAAGAGACCTTGATGCGGCGGCCTGGGACATCAATCTCTTCAAACGCCAGCTTTTTGTACTTGTTGCCAACATAGGATATCTCGGCACCGAGATCGTTTTGTTCTTGGTACGGGTACTTTTCTCCGCGATCGTCCTGGTTTGGTCGAGCGTGGAAATCATTGACATTGTTGTGGCGATCGCCCCCGAACTTGACGCCGTTTATCCAAGTGATGTGATTAACAACACGTGGATCGTTTCGACGAATAGGCTGGGCGGTCATGGTTTCCCGTGATAACGTCTCATGGCGTATCCTAGATTCTGCCTGTCCCCGAAGGCGAGAGCTGTAAACTTCGTCGTTGAGTGAGTAATTCTGCAACAGCGTCGACAAGTTTCCTTTGCGCTGTTGACGCGGTGGCCCAAACTGGTCCCGATCGCCCAAGGTAGTGGTAGGGATGGGGCCGTCGCGGTAGGATACGTAGGTGGCTCCCTTGCGCGTTGAACTGGGCTCCTCGACAAGACGCTCGCCTTTTCGGTAGCCAACAGCCTTGTTGAGGAGTTCGGGTTCGAGGTGGTGGAGTTGCAGACGTCTGTCAGTGCCCCAAGATATCAACTGAAAGTCGCGGTTATTGATGCCATAATCGGTAGAACCACGCGTACGCCATAGAAACTCGCGTACTTGGGCATCCGAATCGTGCTTTTGGAAGGCATAGACTGGTTCATTGCTAAAGGTCGAAGGGTCACTGTCGTCGACATGCTTGTACAGCCAAAGGTTCGAGTTTCCGCGTTGGGGCATGGCGAGGACGCCGTGTGGGAAGGGCGTGTGCCGTGCTCGCCATACTGGATAGTGAGTGCGGATAACGCGGCGGGGGGTTGTGATGTTTTCATATTTGCCTACGTTGTTCCAAAGCTTGATAGTGGCGTCGAGAGAGCACGTCAGGATCTTGCTCGCGTCATTGCGGTTCCAGTCAATACCGTAGATCTTGGTGCTGTGAGCGGCAATGGTGGAGAGCGGCGTCGCTCCATGGCGCGTGTCCCAGATGTGGAGGTACTTGTCGTGGGCACTCGCAATAATCTTGTCATTCTGGCGGTTCCATTTGACCTGGGTGGCTCCGGCCGTGTAGTCGGCAAGCTTCAACGGAGCCTGCCTGCTGCGAAGGTCATGTACAAAGACGAAGCTGTCGACGCCGCATGTCGCAAGCAGGTCTGGGTGGTGGGCAGAGAAATTGATGTCTGTAATGGCGCGGTCATGGGCGCGCAGAGTGTACTCGATGGGCGCCTTCTTGCTGTTGTACGGCATGGAGAGATTGTACACGAGGGCGAGCTGGTTGCGCGTGGTAGCGATCCATTCTGCGCGGGCTGCAAATGGCGACCACTGCACGTCGGCAACGTCCCATGACGACTGATTCGGAATGAAGCGCGGCAGAGAAAAGAGATTGTCCAAGTCAATGATACGGAGGCCGCTCTTGCTGGCGAGGACGATGTCGCGGCCTGCTGGGCTTATGCTGGCGGCCCCGATCTCGTCATCCACCCTGACCTCGACATCGCGATCGAACGTCGGCGACTGGAAGGCCGACAGAGGCCCGCCCGCCGTGGCCGCCATCTTGTTGTTGGCCGTCTCGCGCGCACGCGTGTAGAGTGGCGATGGTGGTGACGGCGGCGGATGCAGGCCGTGGCTGCCCTGGCATCCCTAGCGCCTTCCCACCGCATCCTTGTGAGCTGTGCATGGCGCTTTCTGCTTTCTGCACTAGGGGGCGCGCCGCTTCGGTAGGAACGAGGCCCGGCCGATTACGCAACATCAAACATGCACGCCTAGTCCTGTGGCTCTTGCGAAGACAGACGACGCGGGCTTGCTACGTCAAACGCAGAGACATCGTAAAACTCGCCTCCTCCGCTCGCAAACCGGCCAGCAGCACTCTCAGCCTCGCCGCCTCAGCCTTTCTCTTTTGCGACCGCTTCTTCCCCACCGCCTGTGACTGCTGCCCCGCCATCAGCCATGGCGCTGCCCAAACGAATCATCAAGGAAACTGAGCGTCTGGTCAACGAGCCGTGAGTACCTCGAGCAGCATGCCGTGTGCCTCTACTGACCCAGGCCGCTGTGCAGAGTCCAGGGCATCAGCGCGACACCGCACGAGGACAACCTGAGGTATTTCGATGTCACCATCGACGGTCCTAGCCAGTCGCCTTATGAGGGTACGTCGGCACCCAGCGACGTCTGGCTTTCCAGCTAACATGCCTCTAGGTGGTGTCTTCAAGTTGGAGCTGTTCCTTCCTGACGACTACCCCATGACGCCGCCCAAGGTCCGCTTCCTCACCAAGATATACCACCCCAACATCGATCGTCTGGGTCGCATCTGCCTCGACGTCCTTAAGAGTACGTCTTGGGCCTTCTCTCACATGCCGGAGACTATGCTGATACTTCCAGGCAACTGGTCGCCTGCCCTCCAGATTCGCACCATCCTCCTTTCAATCCAGGCTCTTTTGGGCGCACCCAACCCCGATGACCCTCTTGCCAACGACGTGGCGCAGGCGTGGAAGGAGAACCAAGCACAGGCTATCCAGACAGCCCAAGAGTGGACACAGCAGTATGCTAAACCGTGAGCCGCCCGCTCCTTGACATCACTCACGGGGGCCATCCTTTGGCGCTGGCATGGGCAGATGGCGCTGTACTCTTCCTCGGCATGATACCTGGGAGTTCAAAGAACAGACTTGCACTATGCCACGCAGCAATGATTGATTGGCCTTTCGAGACCTTGTGTGTGATGGAACAGGCCCTTTGATTTCGCCCATTTCCTTTGTATAGTACTGGCCATTTTACTGCCTCTGCAAGCCCTGGCGTTGGATGGACAATCTGGATAGCATGACGGTGATATATTTCCCACTGCATGATTGAGAAACTCGTAGATTTTTTAACCGGGATTCTGGCCAACATGAAGATCGTGGAATGAATGATGATCTTAACATGCCACCCCATTGCTGAGTGATATGCCCATTGACGCTTTCGAGAGTAGTCGTTCGTTTGTGGCATGCATTTGCTGCAACATCGCAACCAGACATAGGGCAAATTTTCTGCTGAAATCATTCGTATAGATGGCTCCTGCTTCGGCCTGTGAAAATTTGGCTTGAAATGTGCAACTTGCGTAACTGCGTGCGTGCGTTCCTGGCAAATGGTGGCCGCGTTCGCCAGAGGCTTCCGGGCTCCCTTGGTGGGGGAACTGTCCGCTAGCTACTTGCTTCTCTTGAGCCCCTCAGTCGGCACCATGACACCCCACCATCACACCAAGAACCACAATTGTCTTCTCTTGGGCTCTTCTTTTCCGTGCCGATGCCCTGATGCCTCTGCTCTTGATTTTGATGATCGAGATCTTGTTCTTACCGCTTTGGTGGTCCGTACTTTGGGGGGACGCTGCGGATCGAGCTTCCTCTCCCCGCATCCTCTCCCCCAGTACCCCCTCCTCCCCCGCCTCGCCATCGACTGTTCGGTATCCGGACATGACGAAGAGCTTCTTCGGCAGCTCATGCAGGTCTGCAGCTTCGCTGTAGCTTCATGAGCGGAGCTTTACCCGCGGAGAGACAACAGCATCCTGTCCGCAGCCTCGCCAAGACCCCCGTGGAAGAACAGGCGGCGCGATGCTCTCTCACGACACGGAGCACCTACACCGAAACAGAATCCTCCCCATCGAATGCAATACGGTATAGTTGATGGCCGCCATCACCGAGCTTGGTGGTGCTCCTCGCCGGAGCTCCCAGATACACAGGACATAACGCGAATAGAGACGTCGCGGTTCCAGAGCCGACGAGGCCTCTGGCTATGTGGGCTGCGACATCGCCTTCCGGGCTTTGAAGCATCCCGCATAACCTCAATACCCCTAAGGACAGGCTGCCAACATCGGGCGATGTTGGCGGAAGTCCCGAACGAGCGACGATGGCCTCAGACCAGCTCCGACCAGGTCGCCATTCGCCCATGCTCCTGAAAGGTACTCCAATGTCCGAGCATCGTCAAAGTATTGGACAGCCACGAGTGGCTGCCGCGCATTCTGACACAATAACTGCAAAGGTTTTACAGCTAGTGTACCCCGCTTGATGTGGACAAAATGACACCGAGACCACGCGACAAAGGCATACGGCGAGCATGCGATACATAAAACAGGAATGTGCGGGTGTCGATGCGAAAGGATAACCCGGATGCCATGATGCCTTCATCGGCAGAATGAGCCTTTACTTGCACGGCTGCTTGTAATGCCTGGGTCTTCCGCATCACGCTGCCCAGCTCGGTCCAATGAGAGGCATGCCGACGGCACTGCATTGGGACGACCAGCCTCGCCAGCATGCGCTCAGTCCGAGATACAACAGATCCTGGGAATAAAAATGCCGGGCATTGTGCTGGTAGTGAGGGCAGTAGCAGCACGCTGCGACGTACCGTCTGCCACCCACAATCGAAATGTCCGGATTGGAGAAAGAACCGAACGCAAGCAGGCCGCGAGCGCGTAACGGATAACTCGCCGGCTAGGTGTGGTAACATTGTTCTGATTGAGAACACCAACCGAGCATTGCCACGGGCGCCAAACGTGTCGATGCTTCTCAGCTTCTCCTACAATGCACACGCGATGCAACGCGCAGCAGGAAGGCGTCCTATCCGATTCGACCGACACACCACACATGGTCTCGAACCACAGAATATTGATACGTTCTGGTATGATACTCATCGACCATGTGCGCAAAAGCTACCGGCAAGCGGCTAGTGGCATGCCTCCGTTGCGTATTGGATGGCGCATAAGGATATGCCGGTGGCTCTTTTCAACGGCATCCCTCTCTGAAACGGATGTGCTCAGGTCGCAGCCTCAACATGGGACTTCTTAAGGGCATCGGCCAACACGTTGCTCTGTTCAAGCCAGCTTGCGATAGTCACCAACCATGTTGATAGGAATACCGGTATAACCCTAAGTGAGGTCCCGCCTCTTCACATGAGAAGCGCCATGCCATAGTATGCCGATGGTGCGCATCAGGCGAAGCGCGCATGTCCGACCTGAAGCTCGACATCCATTCCTAAAAGAAACACCGTTATGACTGTGCTAGTCATGGACTTCGACCGATGTCGAGATGAGTGTTCACTCAAAGTTCCTTACAGGCAAAACTCAATGACGGTGTTGCTCATTGGCGGCATTCCTCGCTGTCGTTCTTCAGCCCTGTGTCACTCGCCAATCGAGCCTAAAAACACCGCACGCGTGGGTTGATGCATTCGCGTATTTTCAATTGGAGAAGACGGAATTTGTTGGCCAATGACATGGAAAACAGCCCTGTTGCGAAGGACTTTCTCCATTTCGATGCACTGGACTGGCCAACAGACATCTTCCAGTTCATCAATACCTTTGATTCTTTTCATCACTCTGGAAGGTTTGAATGCGTAGACGCAGTGTCATCAGCCTAAGTCGCCGCTTCATGTCTTAGGATTTTCCATCATGATGCCTCTGGCTGGATTGGCATCGGCTTCCACACAAGAACCAACTCTTACGACAGCGACATGTGTATCGATTCATGGCTCATAGTCTTGAGAACTGAAGGCGCTGTTGGATCTCTGCGATAATCTCAGAGCCATCATCAAGTCTTTTTCGGATTGATAGTACGATTGGCCATTCGTTCACAGGAAAAGACTTCCACCTCGGATCCTTCGATTGTCTTGGTGGCTCTCGAAGCTTTCTTGTTAGCTGAGTCGTAATGAGCCCAGTTGGTGGGATTCCGAACATGGAGTTACACCAGCGATTTGTGTGTACGTGGAGTACATACGCTGTGCCTCTCTCATGTCGATCAAACGGCGTCCAATCCGTGGCATAGCCAGGTGTGGTGGTACCATTGAAGGAGCCAACCTGCCATGAGGTTCTTCGTGCCAGGCCATAAGAGAGTGATAGACGCGATACCAGGACACTGGAGAACGCTACAGCAGGCTCCTCTCCTTCTCCAAGCTTGTTATGTGTCAATTGGTGATACCCTTGGGCAAGAGTTCTCGGGCATTGTGTCTCCGGTTGGTGTCATATGGCCCGTCGCTCGTGTTGTTGTGCAACAGGAGGTACCAGCGCACCGCATCTGTCGTAGAAAGAGCTTGGAAATGTATGGTCGAACGTGTATCAGGTGGATTACTCGAAGGACAGTGCGGGTGACTGCGGTTTCAAAAGGGCTACTTTCGCATCGACGTCGGCGTTCATGGACGAGAAAGGGACCGGCCGTTGTTCTGGTGTTTCGTACGAGGTACTTCCAATCCTATGTCAAGGGTCAGCGATCGAACAAAAAGGAATTCGACAGATCAGCAACAAGGTACCTCAAGGATCTGGCTTCCCTACTCCAACGCACATCACCAACTGGTCGGGGTTATGTATCTCGATATACCTTCGGCTATCCATGCGTGTGTCGCTCTTCCGGAGTCGCTATGTTAGGATGACTGCGAACTACTTCCTTTGTTCCAAGGCCCACAACAGCCTATCGGCCTCCTCGAGTAGCGACCTTCGAGTAGCGACTCTCGATGCCTGCGAACATTTTGGCCGCGAATCATCGCTTGTCAGTGATGCGGTGCTTTGGCCTTTCACTACCTTGACCAAAGACGTGGTTTGCAGCAGACTAGGGTGTAGGGGTGTCTTCAGCTAAAGCTGCACCTTGTACTCGAAGCTTTGTTTGCGAACAATGGCCTTACCAGCCAAAGAGTCAAGCCGATCAAGCACATTGTAAAGGCCTTTGGCGCTTCTTGTCTTCTCAAGTCCGCCAAGTCGTCGAAGCGTATGGCCGATGTCTGCATTGTGCGGGAAGGTGCACTTGGCTCGTGTCAAGTCCTTGCGGGAGACGCAGGCGCCGAGTCATGGCGGGCGGGGCATCAATTCCTATGCAGCTACTGTCAGTTCCCGTCGATCTGCGCTCTTGTCGTACTCGCCTGCTCTGGCCTTCAGAAGACACTGTGTACCCTTGACAAGGGTGACTCGACTCTCAAAGGGAACGAGCTCCTCGGTGCATTGCAGATGTTCATGAGCGCGCTTCTCAATGGCCGCCAGGATGTTGGCAGCCTTGCTGGTCGAGCGGGGGTTGAAGTGCCTCCCGCCGTCTGCTGCGGGAGGTGCGGACTTACGGAACTGAGCAATGCGCTTGCGGTCGTCATGTCCGGTGACAGATCTGTGGTGTTCTTCTTGGTCCAGGTCGCTTCGCCGCTGTTGTCGCAGTCGAAGGACCCCCGGCGGAGACGACCCCCGGTGGAGAAGCTACGGGGGATGTCGGTAGACGCTCGCAACGACGATGCGTTGCTTCGATGAGGCTCGCGCTGCATGCAAAGACGTTGCACGGGACATTGAGAAGATGTAACTATTTGCATTCGGGAAGTCAGTAAATGGGGAAAGAGTGTCTCCTGTTGTTGTGGCAGGCCTACCTATTGCTGTCGAGAGCTCCCCGCTACGCATGGCGATCAGAAGAGGGACAGGCTGGACTGCATCAGTGCTTCCCATACCTACACCAAGTCTGGTCAGTCTTCTGAAGAGCTTCTTGATGAGGATGGAGCCTTTCAATGTCATCGCTGACCCCCATGGGTGTCTTGCCTGGTGTTGCGGAGATGCGCTGCCGCACCCAAGCTTTGCGATGGAGAATTCCGAGCACTTACAAGATTGCTCCTCCTTGCCAGAGGTGTACCGCGATGCTCTAACGAGTAAGAGTATGTGGTTGTTCTGCATGTTGTTGGTGTCGCGGTGGTGTTGTCGTCGTCGAGGGGGCGCGACATCAGGCCAATTCCCCGCCAAGGCCCTCCGCCAGCGCGCCAGATGAATGCATCATCAAGAAAGCTATTCCATATGACCAGGATGTGCTTTTGATGAGCCTCAGGCGCAAGTCAGAGTAGAGTTGGTGCATGGTGATGGTGCAGAGGGTTGGGGAGTGGGTCAAGTCATGGTTGCGGAGAAGGAGCCCCATGAGCAGACCAACGCCCTCAGCAGAATCCGGCCGCCAGATGAAGCATAGCAATGCAAACTGGACTCTGCCTATCACCTAGGACCCTTGGGAAGCAGCCAATCCCCTGCCTTAGCGATTTTCGACGTCACCGCCTCCGGTTTTTTTCCAACTCAGGTTTCTATGACACCTAACCAAGTCTCCTTTCTTTGGCTATATATACAAAACGAAAGCTCCAATATCTCATTAAGCAGCAACCAGCAAGAGGTTAGCAGGTGGAGGAGGACATGGTATAACCAGGTAAGTCTCCCAACCGGGTCCGGATCCGAGGTTCTTCGACAATGCGGCGAGAGGTTCGAATTCGTATACGGCGGAGAAAAAAGATGTAGGTTGCATTCGGGTAGGTATGTATGGTGGACTAACCCCCCGGTGCAACTGAACTTTTTGCTATTTTTTGCGGCATAATGGAGCAGATGATCCACCGGTTTCTGCATGGGCGGCCGAGTTTTTTTATTAGAATATGGCTGCAGAGAGTGCAGTGTTTACTTGGGGAAATAGTGCTGACATAGTGCGGCTTGACTGTCTTTTTTTGCCTCTCCAAGCAGCTACCACGACCTCTATCACCGGACATTGCAGCAACGCAGATCGAATTAGGGCATTCCAGCAAGCCCCTGCTCTCAGTTCTGATAATCTTCGAACTCCAATGAATATCCATAGCCAGAAGGCGCTCTAAGATCGCAGGGAGACGAAATTGCGTTTTTGCAGCAAGTTTGCAGTTCAGTTTCTCTTAGAGATTCCCTCGTCAAATGCTCGCCACTCCAGAGTAATCCACGAAACGGAAAATTCAGAAAAGTGAATGGGGGGTATCATTTCAAAGGTAGGTGTGGCGGTAATGAACCTTTGACGCTGCCGCTGTATTCGCGTTGTTCGAGAGATTGAAGTTCGTCGTAAAACACATGGCAAAACTGTTCATAATAACTCACAGGCTACGAGACGAAGATGTGCAATACGTGCATCACGCCCTCCATGGAGCTGTCGACATTGTGGAAGTCTATAGTCGATCTTCATTGGAATCTACCAAAAACAAGATATATCATTAATACACTAGGTCGTCTGGCCTTGTTATCGTAATTTCGAAATAGTTAATCAACACCAATCGTAACTCCCAAAAACGCGCAATTGGAGACTAATACTACACGGTGTAACGTGTCGATCATACGACATTATAGCAAAACGTTAACAACAGCGTACTACGCACAATGCGAGGTTAAGGTCACAAAGAGAGGTCTCGAAGTCTGCACGTTCACGATATTGAATTCCTATCCGCCAAAGACGAGATAAACCGCCTGTTTGACCCCTTACAATGGTATATCGAGCACACAAATCCATATATTCCGTAGCCGCCCCAAGCGCTGCAACCCCCATAATCTCCACCTCGCCTTCCCCCACCACTTGTTCCAGCGTACACAGCGTCAGCTTGCCCCTCCATCTCCCATTCCTCCACGGTGCGACGAATAGCGCACGTATGGATTCGGGCCGAAAGACACGGAGAAAGCGTCTTGACGATCCACAGCCCACGTCAACCCGTCCGCCATCTTGCATAAGCGGAGCTTGGCGGATGCAAACTGGTAGCGCGGCAGATGGATAGTCGCGCCTCGATGCGTAGTAAAAAGGGGTCAATACCCAGGAAACCCGGAGAAGAGAGTCGGAGGCGGCGGAAAAGGAGAAAGGAAAGAGAGAAGCGACACATCTGGCGTGCTGTACGCTGTGTCACTTTTGCCTTTTCTCCAGGCGTAGAAAGAGAAAGAAACCCCCCTCTCTCTCCTCTGGACCTCTTGCTCGTTCAAAAGTGCTGCAAACGCCCGTCGACAAGAATCTCGACCCATTTGGCGGCCTTTGGCGTTAGAAACTCAGCAAAGAGCGAGCATGGTCTCGCGCTCTCTCCCTCTCTTTCAGACTTTGACGTTTTTGCTGCCAAACAAGTGCGTAAAGTCCGTTTCCAGCTCTTGCGCATTTGCGAATGACGAGAGCGTCGGACTGGGTGGCGAGAGATGCGCACATATCTCTGGCATCTATGGAACCGAGCAATTAGTCACTATTCTTGCATGGGCAGTGTGTTTGAAGAAAAAAGACGAGGGGGAGGAGGGGACACAGTGACTTACCGAGCATGCAGAGTCGGAGCGAGGCCTGGGTTGCTCTTGTTGGACTCGAGCTTGCGCTTCAACAGCTTGCATCTCATACGTGTACGTGATGCGCAGCAGGTCGTGGATGGACAGGTATGTGGTCGACATGATGATTTACTTGTCCCGTGGGCAAAGAATCCGAGGGGTTGGTTTTATTCGGCGGGCCGGCTGACAGAGAGCGAGTACGTGTATGTATTCCTTGCAAGTGCGAGAAGGGCAGTACAGTCTATCTTGCTGTCGAAAGGGGGAATCCAAAAACAACGGTCAGGGCGACAATGTTTTATCCAAGTCCAAACGGGTTCGAGGGGGGGCGGGAGGGTGAGAAGGGGGATGAGACGGGTGGTTATATGTAACACGTTGGCAAGCCCCCCAGAGACGACCTATTTCCTGCGTGCTCACAATCACCTGCGCTGTGATTGGTCGGACGTGCTGATTGGTTGGCTTATCTGCCGAAGCAACAACGACAACGACAACTGCACCTCCAGGGGTTTATCGAGTCCTCCTTTTGAATAGCAGTGCTCCTGGCGGATTTGAACGTGGAATGGAGCAACGAATACTGTGAGATACGCGCGTTGAAGGAAATGGATGCGAGCTTGAAACTTTGGTCGCGGCAGCCTGGGAGCGCTTTATGCCAACATCCACACACTCGGACATAGGCGGTACCGCACTGCGCACCAGCTGTCTGACCGTCATCACATGGGTTGCATATCCCACTATTCTTCAACAAGGCTAGTTTTCTTTGTCACTCTTCGGACTTGCGTGTTGTTGTCGCCCTTTTTGCTTTTCACACTGCAGCGAACGGTAATGGGTGGTGCGTTGGTCTGTGCGGGCAACAATGATGCGGGGGTGCGTGTGTGTGTATGTGTTGCCGTTGCTTCGTCCGACCAACGGGTCCCACACGTCTAATTGTTTCCCGGGACTGTGTGAATGATTGCAACGCGAACAGTACTCTCCATGTTGTTGCCTAGAAAACACGAGAGATGGCATTGGCAAGCAAAGTGGAACACGTCGGAGATGACGATGCTTGTGTGCCTGAAAGCCGGCGTGTTAAATCCGAACCGATCATGTCCGAGATCAGCGGGTTATCAGCGAGTTGAAAGTAGCCCAGGCAGCAGCTTTCTGGTACTCTTCTTCTATGGGAAAAGGGATCCTTAAAAGAGATGGACGTGAGTACCTAAGGAAGCGGTTCATCTCGCATCCAGACAACATCGTCGACTTGGGTTGAGAAGCTGAGAAAGCAACATGGACTCTTTACCCCTCTGGATGCAGCCCAGTCCCCCCCCCTATCTACTTCCAGCTCTTGTTCGACTTCGACATCAACATCGGCATCGACATCGGCCTCTCTAGATCCAGCTCAAAAAAAAAGCAAGTAATCGGTCCGTCCTGCCAACCACGAATGGCTTTCCGGTCCCAAATACACGTTTCTCAAACGTAATTGCGCTCTCGCTTTAGCACTGGCACTGCGCCAAACACGTCGAGTCCCGCACCTATATGATCGACGACTTTACTCGGACCGCTCCTTATACAATGAATGCATCATACGAAGGTAGCAGAAAAAAGACGTTGGAAATATCATGCACGCATCGCCATCGGGGGTAGGCTTGCATCGCCAGGCGGTCATTCGCACATGTCTTGCTGTGTACTGAGGCAGCCTTTGTCGGATAAAACCCACCCACTTGTAGCATCGAAGACATCCATTCGATTTGATGTCGGTATGGCCACGAGACGACTGGAAGGTCATAGAAAGGGTAGTGTGGACGAGAGAAACGGGCTCTAGGCCTGACGTTTGCAAGAGCTTTGAAAGTAGAAAAACAGACGAATATCACTGCGAAAAACTTTGGTCAATTGGTAAGATTCTAATGAAAGGCGGTCGAAATGAGGCAGTGCTTAGACAACACTGCATTGACTTGAGCTCGTCATCTTTTATTCATTCTAATTCCAATGTAATTGGTGAAGCTAGTGGGGGTACAGTGGCTTACAACCACTCTTCGCTTAAACAGCTTCGAAGGTACCTTTTTTTTTACAGCACCGCCACGGACGCTTTATGGATACAGACTTTTTGCACGCCAGTACCCGCTACTGGCTACCCATACCAGGAACCTGGTCTTCGACTCTCCGCAGCAGCGGTACGCGCTCCGCATCCACATTACCCTCACCTTCCGGATCAGGATACACCATCTTCTTCCATTCGCCTTTGCCCACTTTGCTGACTCGCCAAGTTCCCTGCTCGCTCGCCTGCTTGAAGAAATCCATGTTCTCGTCAAAGGTGCGTCCGCCGGTTTCGGGAAGGTAGAGATATGTCCACACGCCTGCGACAGCATTCGTGCCGGCAAACACGAGAAAGATGTAGTAGTCGAGGTTGTTGAAGAGAACAGGCGTTAGGAAAGTAATGGCAAAGTTGGCCAGGCCCCAGATAATGACGGAAATAGCTGTGCCCTGTGCGCGAGCAGTGGTCGGGTAGACTTCAGTAGGGAAAAGCCAGACGGTGGCGAGCCAACCAATGCCAAAGGCGCCGGTAGCAACGAATAAAATGATGGTACCAATTATGCCAGGGACATACACAGGAATATCCAGGGAGCTGGATTTTGATGCTAGGCCGCCGAAAAGAGCAAGTAGTGCAAAGGAAGTGGACAAGATCATGGAACCTTGGATGAGAATCTTACGTCGGCCGATCGCATCAATGAGCAACCAGGCGAGTGTCATGAGGAAGAAGTAAGAGGTGTAGTTTCCAAGAGTGAGATATTCCGAGTTGCGAACTGAAAATCCGAGGAGCTGCGTTATAATTTAGTACCATTCCGCAGCGTTAAGTCCCCTGGGCTCAAAATCACATACCTCAAAGATCTGCGGGCCATACACACTAACAGCGCCGTATCCAGTCAGTGCTTGGTTCACCTGGGACATGACCGTGATCATTGTAGGATGAAACTGCTGTCTTCCGGGTGTCAACATGTCCAAGTAGCCAACCTTCTCGTCCTTTTCTTTCTCATGCTGCTCTAAAAGCGTGTCAAGCTTGTCTTTAGCCTCATCTCCATAGATGTCATCCAATGCATCCTTGGCTTCGTCCTTGTGATCATGGAAGATGAGCCAGCGTGGGGATTCCGGGAGACGCTCAACAAATGCCATGAGCAGAACAGGATAGACCTGCATGACAATAATGGGGATGCGCCAGGCCCATTGGTTTTGCTTGCCGAGGAGGATGGTCACGAGAAGGTTGATGCCAAAGGCCATGACCAGACCGAAAATGTTTGACTGGAACTCTTGAGCTAGCGCTTTACCACGCGAGTCGTCGGAGCTCAACTCGGAGGAGTAAGTTGGAATAACCGCGTCGATGCCTCCAACGCCGAGACCCATCACTACCCTTCCTGCCAACATTATGCCCAACGCAACCTGACTACTCTTTCCCAGAATTCCCATCCCGCTAGCGAACATGAGTAGGTTTCCCAAAGAAGCCGTTGCCAAACTGAAAAAGATGCTCTTTTTTCTTCCCAGCTGGTCGGCAAGTTTCGAGAAGATGACCGCACCGACTGCACAACCGAGGTAGTAAACAGCCACAATGACGCCGACCATGGGAGATTCCTCGTATAAGCCCATAGTCTCGAGATAGTCGTAGTTTGTGTTGATAAGCGACATCATACCCTGATCGTAGCCATAGAGCGCAATGGCTGTAGCGGAGAAGATAACGACATTTGTTTGTTTGTCCTTGAATGCATGTGTTATGAACGACATTTGTTTCTTTGGTTCGCCCCTGATGCCTGGGCGAGGGCTTGATCAAGAGATACAAAGGTAGGCGGGCCTCGGGTCCTAGGGCCTGGTTAGAAGTTTACCAGGTGATGCAGAAGCGGAAGAACAGAGGTTAAGTCTAGATTCTTAGGCTCTGACGTATGGCCTGGTTAGATGGTGCTAGACACTGGACGCTACTTTTCCATGTTTCTTGTTCAGCTGGCTGCCATTATCCGCGGGGCGATCCAAAGGTCTTTTCTAACCTATGACGAGTGCATGCAGGGACGCGATGTCGATCTGAGACTAGGATCGGGGATAGCCCCGCCAGTTTGCTAACGGTCCTTTGCCGGCGATTGCTCTCCCGAGCACGTCTTTGGTATAACTTGGCTATTTATTGGTGTCGTTCGATTCGTGCTCCTCCATGCACATGCTGACGAAATTTTGGTGGGTGGCTATTGGTATGGCTTGGGAAAAGGTCGACAAATTCTACGTGCAACCGCTAAGCTTCCAATGCCGCGATCTCGCATGCTTAGCGCCACCAAGTCTAAGCGACGTCGTGCTCGATCGATTCGATCTCTTCTACCTCACGACGTCCATCCCTGCAATCCATCCATGTCTTTCGCATCCAGCGTTAATGAAAATATCCTGCTTTGCACTTGGTCTGTCTAGGATGACTTAGCAGCCATCAACCTCAATGCCATAATCGAAACTCTCTGGCCAATATCTGAAGTGGGCTGGTCACTGCATCTCATACCAAAATGTTTGAGGCAGAGCAATGTACCTTCATTTATCCTTTGCAAAAAGTAGAAATCTAATAAAAAGCCTTTCATTTTTAACATACCTTATCAGGTGTAAGTTATACAGACGTGATCCAGTTGCCTCTTGCACAATCGCTGATCGGATGTAAGTGCTTGTAATACAAGCCCATCCTTTTATGGTGAAGTTTGCTTTTATGCTCATCAAAAGCATTTATGACTACGAATGTAGAACAGACAATAAGGCAGGGGGCAGGAAAATTGAAACCTCAAGTTGAGCAAGTAGTTGACACATGACCTAAACCAAGGCCTACACTCTCAGAAACAGCAGGTACGGTATCCCCCGCCTTGTCTGCAGCCGATGTATGTAACAACAAGAGCGTAAACAGGCAGCCCTCAAGCAAGAGCTTTCATCGCCCTAAGCAGAGCTGTCCTTGAAGACCCCGATGTCTCGTAGAATGTCACGACCCTTCTTGCAGCAGGCACACTTATCGCTGCACTTGGTATTCTTCTTGCAGTAATGGTCGGTAGAGCAGAAACCATATCGGCAGATGAGGACGCCAGTGTGATCCTTGGAACACTCGTATCTCTTGTTTTCCTGAGCTTGTGTATCGGGGGTGTCTCTCTTGGCTATAGCCAGGGGTCCCTGGGCGGAGCAATCATCCATAGCGGGGCAGGCAATGGCCGAGGGATCGTCGTCGCAGTGGTAACTACAGTATAAGAAGTATTAGCGCATCTCTGTAGTTGTGTTTGCAGGCGCAAATACGCGACCTACGTGTTTTCTTCGTTGTTCTGATTGACAGACTGAGTGCTCATAGAAGGCTGTTCACCAGTAACAGCTTTGCGATCAGTAACCGTAGGTGAAGCGTTTACCAGCACCAGCAGGCCAACAAGGGCAACTGCGACCAGCATCATCGAAGCGCTCTCACAAGTGTGGTTTGGAAGCAATAGCGTAGTGCAAAGAGAGTGTAGGCAAGGTTGAGCAAGGGCAAAGTAAAGCGACCGGTGACGCAGTGAAATCACACAAGCCAGATGCGATTGCTTGTTGTCTGTGCTCCACCAAAGGTTGGGGACTTGGGATTGGTCGTGCGAAAGTGGGGCATGGCGTAAGGTGAAAGAACGAAGTGAAGGAAAGAGCGACTTGGCTGCGCGCCCAAGCCCATTTTGCGCTGATGTATTTGAGCTCCATGCTCTGTCCTAACTTAAGTACCAGGCAAGTTATCTGCCACATGCATTCCAAAGTCTGGGTGATTTCGTGTAAAGCTGGACACGCGATACCGCCACGTGCGCACGTGCAAAAGTCATCACATGCAAGGGGTGGGCACAACACTTGCAATGATGAGAAAACTTTTGGTCATAACTAAGGATACTGTCAGACGAAAGAGCTTCACGTCTATCGCGTGGTGCAGCAAACAGGCAACCATCCCTCCAAACCTCTATATAACGCCGAGCCATGCAATTCTGCAAAGTCTAAGATATCATCGTGCGATCGTAAACCCAAAACGTCATGAAAACATCTATTCGGCCTCGTCGTCCGTGTTGGGAGGCTGGGGTGTGCCCTGGTCGCGTTGTTAGTTTATCGAAACTCGCACAGCTGAGAGAATAACATACCTTGGGGCTGTTCAACCAGTCAATGTATCTCAATCTTCTCCTAACCTCCCTCTCCTTGAGCTCCTTCTTGGTCATCTTCTTCTTCTTCCTCGCCCTGAACTTCATGTCGTCCTTGCCACCCTCGGCCTCGCTCATGACAGGAGTACCAGTGGAAGAGGGCGCTGCCGAGCTCACGTTGCTGCTGACGTTGCTGGATCCTGGGCGCGAGTCTTCAAAGCGGTCCATGTTGACGGCAAGGTGGCCCTTGTGAGTGACGCGACCGTCGGCAACATGCCACTGCTCGGGGCAGAGAGCACCAACGAATTCCTCGTTGTGAGAAATCATAATGACACCACCCTTGTAGTCACGAATAGCAACAGCGAGACCACCAAGAGAGTCACGGTCCAAAAAGTTCGTAGGCTCGTCGAGAACGAGAAGATGTGGGTTGTTCCACATGGCACCAGCTATGCATTTGTTAGCAGCGGTCACGGTTTCGGTAAATGGGGAATACATACCAAGCACGACCTTGACCTTCTGTCCTCCAGAAAGACCAGAGATCTCGTTGTGGTTTGCAATCTCAGGGTCCAAGCCCAGATCCTCGAAATGCTTGGAGATGACCTTGGGCTCAAGAACACGATAACCAAGACCTTCACGCGAAGACTCATGGTCGTCAAATTCCTGGACAAGCTTGGCGAAACCCTTCTCAAGAAGAGTCTCACGAGAGATGTGCGAGTTAAACTTGGGCAGCATGTGGCGCCACTTGACCTCGTACTGGAATGTCTTCTTGTACTTGGAGCGACCAATAAGCGCCTCAATCTTGCGGGGGCCCCTGCCATCACCAAGGTCAATCGGGGTCTCCATTTGGGCCTTGTCCTCTTCACTGAGGACACGGGTCTGCTTCATAAGCACCTCGCGGTCATCACCGTTGGCGTATCGCCACTGAAGGTACTGGTTGGGCGTCTTCTCCAAGTGCATCTCGACGTGCTCAAGAGCGTGCTGCTTGATGTAACCAATACGCAAGTTGGGGTGCTTCTCCACAGTTCCTTCCTGAGGGATCGTCTCTCCGGTAAGCATCTTGATGAGCGTGGATTTTCCAGCACCATTGGCACCAATAATGGCCACACGAGATGACAGAGACAAGTTGCACGAAGCATCAACCAATGAAGGCTTGGAGGCTCCGGGATAAGTGTACGAGCAGTTGGTCATGCGCAAGATGGAGCGAGTGTTGGACTTGACACCAGTGAGAATACCAGGGGGAGGGAACTTGAACTGGACCTGGGTAGCAGACAGGGTGTAGTAGCTCTTGGCCTCGGGCTTTTGGCGGACAAAGTCAGCGAGGTTGCCCTTGTAGCAGACGAGTTTCTTCTGTTCGTAGTGGTAAATGTCTGTGCAGACTTCGTCGAGGAAACCCGAGTCGTGGGAGACAATCAAGCTGGTGACGTCGCTGTGCGACTTGAGGTACTTTGCAAGCCATGCAACGTTGGCAACATCCAAATGGTTCGTCGGCTCGTCGAGAAGGAGCACGTCGGCGCGCATCAGCATGGCACGGGCCAAAGCGAGCTTCATCTTCCAACCTCCAGAGAGGGAGCCGACCTTGTGCGATTGCCTACCTTCCGGTCCAGAGGTGAAACCAACTTCCTCGAGAACTTCGGAAATGCGCTCCTTGCTCTCATTGGCAAAGCGGGGGTCGCGGACAATGTACTCCAGAATCGAGAGATCAGCGTCCTCACCCTGGTTGTGCTCGACAAAGCAGGTCTTGACTTCGTCCTGGGGCGGGAAGCCTTCTAGCTTGCCACTTGCAATACTGCGCATGAGCGTAGACTTTCCAGCACCGTTGCGGCCACAGAGACCATAACGATGACCCTTGAGCAGACGAAGGTTCGTGTGCGAAAGAAGCAACATACCACCGTAACCCAGAGAGAAGGTGGCGTTGACAATCTCGACCTCTCCGTCATCTTCCTTGACAGGCTGACCGAACTTGCGGTGGTCTTCGTCAACGTAGAATTTGCGGACGGCCTCGGCGACCTTATCAGCATCCCCAGTGTTCAGAAGGGGCTCCAAGTAGGGCGCGACGAGCTTGGGGATGCGGTCGAGCTGCCGCTGGTTCGCAACCTCAGCAATCATGTCCGAAATGTAAATCTTAGTAAGGTTCCAGATCTCGGCATCGCCAGGGAAGTTGAGCATGTTGCCGGCAGCAGCGATTTCCTTCTCCAGTGTTTTCTGGACATCAGATGGCTGGACACGTTCAACGGCACCACTATCGACTTTGTGGTCGGGATCGGCCATGGCCTTTTCGATAACGTCCAAAGCACGCTGTCCAATCTCGCGAACTTCGGGCAGAGACGCGCGGTCTTTGACAGCCTGCACACCGGGGCGGAGCTTAGGCAGGAAAGTGCGTGCCTCGATAGGGTCGTGGACGAGCTTGGTCAAGTTCTCGACCACAACAACTGTCTGGCGAGTAACTTCCTGGGTAGTTGTGGGGGTGTTCAGGGAGCGCTCAAGCAAGGGCGTGACCATGGCGAGAACGGGCGATGTAACAACAGCGACAAAGGTTGTCTGTGAGAGGGCGTGGATGGCCTTTTGCAGACTCTGTGTGGAGGGGTCTTCGATGGCCTTGACGAGGAGCGGTATCCGGGGCGCGATGTCGTCGTTCTGGAGGAGGGTAGTGAGACTGTTCATGGTCTTGACAGCTTGCTTTGCGACCTGCTCGAGGTTAGTATGGCTTGTTGCTTTTCAAAAGGGGGGGAATCATACCTCAGATTTGAGGTCATGCATGCCAGACTCGACAACAGGAATAAGACCCTCGAGCTTTTTTCCCATGGCGTCCCGCAGAACGTCTTTTTCCCTCTCTACCTCGAGGCTCTCCATGCCCATCTTGGCCTTGTCAGCCATGCGGCCGATAAGCTCGTAGGCAAAAGCAGCGCCTTGCCACTTTCCGGATTTCTTGGCCAGGTACTTTGTGAGCACGGGGAGGAGGCCAAACACCTTGGCCTCGGCGCCCAGGTTGTCAAAGAGCGAGTCGAGCGCATACTTGGCCGACTCCTTGACGGGGCCAGTCTTGTCCGACATCAGGTCGAGCGCCAGCGGGACGAGGCCTGCTTCCTGGACGAGGAAAACGACCTCTGCGATGCGCTGCGTGCGCGGGAAGCGCTCAAACAGGGCGCCGAGGGCGTTCATGGCGCCCTCTCTGCGCACGGCATCCTTCTTGTTGCCAGCCGACTTCTTGATCTCTTCAAGCACGCCATAGCCACCGAGGCCGCGGAAGCCGACCGAGTTCTGGAGAAGCGTGGTGAGGGCATAGGCGGCGTCGACCGAGGCGTGCGATGTCTTTGCCGTGACGATGCTGCTGAGAAAGGAGGCCACGTCTTCGTGCGAGGGCGCAGGGGCGGCGCCGGCCTTGTCGACAACGATAGCAGGAGCCATGGTTGGGGATTCAGAGTGAGGCATCTGTTCGGGAGAAGTGGTGCGCAGCCCTTTTTCGCTGGAGGCGCGGCGAGGGATTTCTTTTTTGGAGGGGTTCCCTTATCGATATCAGGGATGACTTGCGGCTGGGGGGGCGTAAGCGGTGCTCAGCAGCGCAGGCAAAATGGCACACAAAGCCGGGTATCACAGGTGCAGAGACGCCCCAACGGAAGAGTGGAGAGTCGATACAGTACAAAGAAGCAGTGAAGAAAGAGCGTTGGCAGAAGGACGCCGAGGGTGCGTGGAGGGGGGCCGTCTTGTAGAGTCGGGCGCGGACGTAAATTATTATTTCGCCCACGGGTCAAAGCGCCGCTTGGGTGCACGTTTTTCCTTTTTGCCCGCCCTAGGCCTGCTTCCGCCTACTGCAGGGCTGAGACTGCCGGATATACTATCTTGCGTCTACACCGTCCTTCTGCTGACCACATGCACAGGTACCATTGGCCCGCCGTGAAACAGGCCAAACTGTCTTCATCGATGCAACCCTGATGCGACGGACCCGCGAGTTCAAAACCACGTTTCGACCCTTTTCCACGTCTCATCGCGGGCGCCCAGCCATCGAGTCCTCCTGGATGCCTGCCGCCAGCGCCACCATCGACCCGCCCGTCACATGCGCCGGGTACAAAACACCAACTCTCCCAAGCGACCTGGCCAGCTCTGCAAGACGCTTACTCCTTGGCTAGGGGGTTCATCAACTAGATGCCCGACTACCGACACTAGCGTTAGGCATGCAGGCACTAACGAACTTAGCAGACGGCCTTCTCAACAAAGACGTCTTGGGCTTATCGCTAAATATCCATAGGCGACACCTGGGAGCAGACGTTCAGGCGCAGGTTCGACACGCTGTCGATGGGCAATGCCTCATTTGTGGACACGCGGGTCGAACAACATGAGAAGGGTCTACGGGGCCAGTCAGAGCTTATCAAGGAAAAGCAGACTTACGAATCTTGCATTGGCCGAGTCAGCATGTCGTCCACCAATGGCTATCAGAAGGATGACTTAATCAAGCCCCGGGCCACGTCAAGGGCTTCCTTCGCCAACGACAGCAAGTCAAGAACCAGCGGGTCTGCCGTGATATATAGTACAACGAATCTCACACGGTCAGGAACAACGGCAGCGGATCACGGCAAAGATAAATCAAAGTGTCAGGACGTGCTGCTTATCAGTAGGATGAAAAAAGAGAAGATGTGCGACGACGCTAGCGGCAAGCTTACTGCAGATCCGCACTAAGATGTATCTCCGGTATACGTTCTGTCGCCTCTTACGCTACCCTAAGGTCCCTGGATAACATTCGTTCGGCCCCCGGTCAGCTTACAGCACGCATCTACAACCACTGCTTCATTTGTTTTTCTATGGGATTATCCGTTATTACTCCGTCTTACTCGGGACCCTGCAGGAGGCAGAGCATAGTCGGAGTAGCATGCAGCGCAGGTAACCTTGGGCGCACTGGTACTTCCCCTGTCCGCTCCGAACATTACGTAAGAATGAACAAGTCAGCCAATTGCTATTGCGCATCGTATTATCGCGATACTCGGCTCTTCGTATAGTTCCTGCCAGTCGTAGAATAAGCCTCCGAAACGGCAGGCGCCTGTTACGGCGACTCCTGGCAGAGCTAAAGCTAAAATGAGATTATTCTAGATCCCCGAACCTTTGAGGAGTTATTCCACGACGATCGCAAACTTACGCGCAAGGTCTCAAGTAAGCCGTCAGCCGTCCTAGTGGTCCTGAGTCACAAGGTGGATATCAATTTTTCCAGCAGTCAGGTCGACGAGGCATCAATGGTTGTAAATACTACATTCGGCCAAGGCAACCACTTCTCTGCCTTCATACCCGGTCTAGAAGCTTACAGATGCCCAAACAAAGAGCGGTGCTAGGATTTTGAATTCCGACTTGACGGTCTCGATGCTGTGGGCGAAAACATGGAATGCGTCATCGGCTATGCCATTTGCATACTTGGCGAACTACTGTTTCAACGACTCCTGAGTCATGGTTCAACGGTCTCGTGGACAGGAAGGCCTTGTATCAAAGGAGCTGTTTTGTTCGAGACTCAAACTCAAAGGTGCATACACGGCAATCCCCATAGTTGTTGATACAATGTTACTTTCAATCTTGCATACTATGCGACGCTGAGCCCTGTACCACGCTGCTCTAGCCGCAGTTATCAACTTTAACGTAGCCAAATAAACGTCCAAGGAGTGGCGCTGTTTTGCGTCATTGCTATCGCTCCTTCATATGGACTTAGCTGGATAGCCACCACCAAGCACTGAAGACATTCTAAATTATCCCGGAAATATTGCCATGGCTCGCTTGCTGGGATGCAAGTCATCAGTATCTGTATGACTTTGGACTTGCCGAGACAATGTTTCTCTGACAGTGACAATCTTACTTGTCGGCATCTTCTTTACACTTTTTCCCAAGGCACTCCCGAATAATCCATGGCTACATACTATCGTTTTTCTTGATGGAATCAAATCAATACACTTGGTGCAGATGATTCGGGACTTTACAGGGGAACTTTCTTGTGCAGCTTCACTGTTGTATTTTACACGCCCTATTCACAGATTGAACAAAGCACGTACTGCCAATTCCTCACATTGCTTGTATTCTGATATTCATTGAATATATCATTGGCATAGAATATGTAAGTCTACTAGGTGAACCACATCCAGCTACTTCCTGTGGTGCTGGCAAACCAGCACCAGGGCATTCTATGCCGCTTTGTCTTTTCTTCATTGGCGCTAGAAGGAAATGATCCGTACAAAGTACTAAAGACCCATTTTACGTCATACATCAACTACCATTTCAATCCCATAGATACAAAACACCTCTTCATCGTAGAGGTTAGGATGAGACATCTAGATTGTAGCTGGAATACAACGCGCCAAGTACTGAATCTATGAAGACATATGATGCCATCATCTATATGCACAAGTAGTAGTTATGAGCCCCCGATTTCGCATATGCTCATTCAATGCATACTTGCTATGTATACAAACAGATACTCTTGTTATTAGGTCATGACAATACCGTCAAGATCTCACCTGAAATGGAGAGGAAGCGAACACAGGCCACCAGAATAAAATAAGCACGTGAATCAGAACTCTACATGACATCATAATCCATGTTCCCGCTACTGACTGGGTATCAGACTGGGGGCTTGGCATCAAAATTGGATAAAGCACTTTATGTGTAGATTACGCAGAATGTGCCCTTTGACTTGCATTGCAAAGTCTTCTTACATTTCCCTGTCTTGCATGTCAGACCGCAGAGGCTCAGACCACTGCAGTCGACGAATTCAGCGTTTCTGACCGAAGCCTCAATATACTAGTCATTAAAGATGATACAACAATATGGATTCATCTGCATGGGAAAAAAGCGACAAAAGAACATACGAGCGTGAAGAGTAAGCTGCCATTTGACGTCTACGTGACTTGGCCGTGCATAAAAAACCGAAAGACAATCATACGATATGATGGTGACTGAACCCCCCCCCCTTCCCCCATTTAAGGCCAGGTAGTAGAGTTAAATGAGCCACAGTATTGGAAGTTGTCATCGCGCAAAGACTGAATAACACCGTGAGGTGAGGCTATAATCAAATCACACAAGCCCAAAAGATATTACATTACGTGGCCCCCGTCTACGCGGACACGTACCACCACTGGCAAACCTTAGCTGCTCGACGCGATCCACAGCACCCAAGGGCATACCAGCAGTATCCTCGTGCCATCATCACCCTCGCGCAGCAGCACACCAAGCATGTACAGTAGCCAGCCGCGAGCAGCGAGTCAAACCCTCTGATTCCCGAGTCGTACCACGCTCCATTTGCAACCGCCCCCCCCCCTTTCCAAAAAGTCGTACGTGGGACCCCGAAAAAAAAAAGGTTGTTCGGGTATGGGAAGTGATTAACCGCGACTGACTAGAGGAGTTGGGCTAGCTTGGCTTGGCTTGGACCTGCCCTTCGGCGTTTACTTACCACATGCAGTTATACATGTAGCCCACATGCAGGTGTGTGGGCAATGACTTGCACATGCACACCTACCTGAGTAAGGTGGATGGATGGATGGATGGACGTGGGCAGGCATGTGCGTAGCATACATATGCGCATACGGGCGCCCACGCGCCCATGTATGTATGTATATGTCTATGTATGTATGTATGCGAGTGAGTGTGGATGTGTCTATGTGAAAGGCGGGCTTGCCCGGTCCAATGGTGCGGAAGCCCGACTTCACAACCAACAAACGCACAAGGCCTTCAGGCGGTGTCTGGCTCGTCTGACCGACGGCGTTTCTGCTTGACACACACACACACACACACACACACACATATACGCCCACACTCATGCGAGGTAAGGCATACGGGCGGGTGATCGGCATATCCAGTGTGGGATCGGATCGCTGGTGCGGTTGGCGATCGCGCTGCGTATCGCGGCTGTTCACGTGCATGGCGAGTGTGTACATGTGCATGGAGATAGGGGGTTGTGGAGGAGGAAGCGCTGAGGCGCTGCTGAGCAAAGGGGATCGGTGAGATGAGATGATGAGAGGGAGGGGGGGGCGTGGTTGTGTGCTGGGTCGCCTATAGGGTACCGTGGTATTATCGCAGGGATGGGACGCGTCGCTGTGGGCGCGAGCGTTGGGCGGGAATCGCAATGCGAGACCTTGTTGGTTCGGAGGGCACCACGGCGGGAGGGAACATGCGCTGCATCGCGATGCCTGTGTGTGTGTCTCGTGCTGGATGGGGGGGGGGGGCGGTGCTGGGCTGAGGTGGTTTGATGTCTGGGGGGCAGATGATCAGATATTGTGTGGTCTGGTAGTGACGACAACAACGACAGCGATACTTATCTCTTTGCTGGTACGTGAGAGAACAAAAAGGGAAACGAGTGAGGTAGTAACTAAGTACTATGATCTTGTTACTGCGAGTACACCCAGAGTTTGCATGTGTAGAATGTAGTATGTAGTAGCAGCACTCACTCACTCACTCACACTCACTCACACTCACTCACTCACTCACTTACACACTCCCCGCTTGCCGTCATCGAATGCCGTTTTCACCAAGTAAGTTTGGGGGAAGATGGGAACAGGTCCGGCAGGGTAAACTTTATGTAACTTTGCCGTGATATGATTTGACGATAATTTATTCCTTTTTTCTTTTTTTTTCCCGCATGTTTTGGGGGGAGGGGGTGCGGGATCGTTTGTTGTTATTGTTGTTGTCAGCATGATGATGACAAGGCGGACAGAACAGAGTTACCCGAAAACGGTTTGGGGGGAAGGGGGGGGGGGAGGGGGGGAGGCGTCATGGTAAGTGGTAGGTAAAGTAAGCCGTGTACCCGTAACGAGGCACCTCCGCCCCTCGCTCGCTCGCTCCCTCGCAGGAAAAAAAAGGGCTAAAGAAGAAAGAAAAATGCAAGGCGCGCAGCAGCAGTAAGTCGCAGTAGTAAGGCGCAGCAAAAGTCGCTCACTGTATGTAACTGTAGCATTTTTTCTCTTAAACCACCACGCCACTAGTTCTCCAACATACACACCTATTGGATGCTTTTCTACGCTTTCCCTAGGGTTCCAACAGAGAGGGAGGGAGCTAGAGCTAGAGCTAGAACAGGGGTGAGGGTTTGGGGGCGGGGAATACACATACATCATCTAGCATATCCAACTCGTATGTACATACACACATACATACACGTTGCATCCCCACCCCTACCTAGCCTATCCTACCTTACCTTAGCCTACCCCCCCCTTACCCCCGCGCGGCCCCCCTCTTTCATCCCACTCTCTCATATACACATACATACACATACATATGTGGCCTGCATACGTCACTTGCGCTACACAGGGGTCGGGAAAGGGAAGGGGTGTGTGGAAGCGCCCGCCAGCCACCAAAAAGGGTACTTGCTGTACACATGTAGGCTAGTTCAGTTCGTTGGGGGGGGGGGAAGCAGAAAAGAAGCGCCGATGGATCAACATCGCATATGCGGAGAGCCAAAGACGGACGGGCTAGTAGAGAGAGAGAGAATAAGAGAAAGTGAGAGCGAGGGAGAGCGACAAAGAGATAGCGAGATCATACGTACGTACGTAGCCAGAGGGGACCTAGTAGACGATCAGGAAAGGAAAAAAAAAACGCTGAAATAAAAAAAATACGATTGGTTTAATTGGTCTCCCCGAACGCATGGGGATGTGTGTCCCCCTTCCCGAATTACGGGCTCTTTTTTATTTATTTATTTTGCTCTCTCTCTCTCTCTCTCTCTCAATTCGTACGCGCACACGCCCTGGTGACCCGGCGTTATGTTGGCGTGATAAGACTGGAGGGTTCTGTTGGCAAGGGCCATGGGCTATGGCAGATAGACAGGTGGCCTGGGCTGGGCTGGGCTGAGTCGTTGGTCTACTATAGGGCGACAAGGGGACTTTCAGCGAGTGAGAGTGAGAGACAGAGAACGAGTCAGCTCGGCTCGGGCGAGTTGATTGCGATGCTGGTCGTGAGCTGGGGTGCGGGCGGGTCGTCACATATGTACATAGAGGGAGGGCTGTTGATACGAGTTATGCACACGAAAAGAGATGGATAGAGAGAGAAGGAGAAAAATAGATCAAGGGTATGTACTATAGAGTGAGAGAGCACAAGCCCTGGGGGGTTGCTCGTTACGGGGACGTGATCCGATTCATCGAGTCCCTTTTTTTTGTGTTGGTTTCTCGTACCTCATTGCATCAGGGGGGAACCATGGACCCATGGTGTACCAGTCGATTTCGCCATGTGCCATGTGCCATGAATGATGATGATGATGCACAGGTGGTGTGTGGCGCTCGGCCGTACCTTGGTGATAGACGTTGTGTGGATCAGTAATGTCGTCATACCTTCCCCTCTGCCGCCAATATCAAGCTTGGGCGGCAGGCAAGTGCAGATCACACGCTTCCCTCGGGTATCTCCCCCCCCCCGTGTCGTGTCAGCATCTCGTCAGCAGTATGTAGGAGAGGCGCGGAACGAGGAGGGGTAGCGAGGCCCAGGTTGCTAAAAAAGAAGGGGACATTGTGATGTACATACAGTACACCGACATTAGCTTGCTTTGGGGGTCATTGCATCCTTCTGTTGGCTGCAAGGAGACGCCCGTTCGGCGAGGTGAACAGCAAGGGGAAGGGGGAGGGAGGGTGGGAGAGCCGTCGGAGTGGTTGTGTGCGGACAAGTCCTCAAGCACACAGCAGTGGCAGTGCCATGCTACTACGCCTGTTCGGACATTCTCCGGAGTCCAGAGTGCATACTTGCAGCAGCTGGGCATGCAAGACTAGCAGAAGGAAAAAAAAAGCCACTCAAAGTGATTGCTCAGGATTGCAGAGAGCTTGCCCAAGAAAAGGTAGTGGGAAGGCCTGAAACCCCATGCTCATGATCCACGGGCTGCATGAGCTGGCGGGCATTACATGCCCACCACACGTAAAAAAGACATTCCGTGTTGGAGATTAGGTTTCGATAGAGTGATGTCCACGTCAACACATCACTGCAGCGGCGGGCATCTCCCGACAGCCAGGTTGGTAACTGTGGATCTGCTGACAATCCACGTTGCGAAGGGCCGAACGGCGGCGGCGGCGGCGACAGTGATCTTGTGCCCCGCCTTTGCTTCGCACCAGGTAATTGAATCCATTCCCTGCTGCGCAATGTCGTCTGGTGGTGGGCAGTATGTGGTGCGTCACACCCCAATATGCAAGAGGCCAAGACTTGAGCGTCGGAAGATGATATCCCAAAGGTACCCACAGCTGAGAGTGCCTCCGGGGAGCAAGCCAAGGTGTGCTCGCAGAGAAGTGTAACTCAGCAACGCTCGTGAAATTGTGGCGAGCCCCCCTCGGGACGTAGGTGTGTGTGTACGTACGTAGGTAGAACATCCCCCCCAACGCCAGCGCGGCTTACACTACCCGATGTGACGGCATCTGCAACTTGGGTTGTAGCGGGACGCTTCACTGAATGCGACGTTAGGCGCGTGTGCCGACATGAGCCTACTGCTCCCAAGAGTCCTGGATGGGCACGTTCGCCCGTCATCATTTCCCTTGTGGTGCAGAGGGGATGGGATCTGCCCGTAGCTCCGGGACTCACGTGTGCTAACTACTAAGGATCAGATGCCGTGGCCCCGTATCTCCGTCCGTGTGGGCGCTCTCCTTCTTTTCCCTGATACGCTCGGCAGTGCCACTGGCACCCAGATCCGAGTCGTTACACAGCGCGGGGGGGGGGGGCTGCTGCGCGCTGGTTCACGGCAGCACAAGGCTTGCTTTCTGGAAAAGTGGTACGATGCATGCATACATGGCTTATATTTTGCCTGTTGGTCTTCTACCACTGGCCCTTACAACAAGCAGAAAGCCCATGGGTCAGAAGGATCCCGTCGTTACGGTCGTTGTTAGCCGACTCAAAATGATCCGCAATTATAGGCGCCAGGGGGGGGGGAGAGAAGGGAGCGCGGGTGGGGGGAGCGGTCAAGGAGAGTTTTGTTCATTCCATAGTGCATAATGAACGAAGGACCAAGCGCAAGCAGTTTCCCGCGGCCTATGCGTCCAAACCATGGGGCAAATTCTACGCAGGAGCTTTGGCCCATGGAGTTAGTGACCGTTGCTGTTGCTTTTGGTGCAACGTTCGTCCTTCATGGAACGTAGAGGGTCATAGATTAAGCATCCCATCGACGATGTGAAAGAACCAAAGGATTGCATCGCCAAATTAGCCCGGCGGCCCACGACACGTCAATCATCAACCCATGCTCTCCGTTAAAACTTTTCAAGATCTGGCCCTGGGGGTAAACCCAAAGCGGTGAGAGAAGCCGTGGGCCCTGTAGCAGCAGCAGCAATTGATTTTCATGGTGTGGCCAGTAGCGTCTGCATGGCACTGGTGAAAAGGATGCTAACGTCCTGTCACACAGTCTTCACGAATCGAGTTGCAGAGCGTCAGCCACACGGTGGAGGGTAAGCTAACGATTTCTGCGGTGACAGGGGACTGAGGCAAGCCGATGCGGACGTCGGTGGGTCAGGCCGAGATGTGTCGACAAGGGCTAAGAAAAGCAGTGCTCCAGCGTATCCAGTGATTGTTATTCGCATCCTGGACGTCCGCAATTCCGAACCCACTCTTTGTGTATCGGCGACATATCATACGCCGATGGATGGGACGACTGCCACCCTAAGGGATATCAGCCAGGCCGGCCAGACCCCCAAACGGCGATCTCCACATTCCGTATTCGACGTGACTGTGCTTTTTTGCGACCGTCAGAGTCTTTTGGTTGATAGGCGGCGTTAATGTCTTGCAGAAGTGGATCTCAAGGCCCGTAATTTAGTGAAACAGGAGGGTTCGATAAGACTGCTGCGCGTACAGCAATGTTGCATCGTCTATCCGATCCATTCATTTGATGAGCGCTATGCATTCTTTGGGGCAAAGGGCGAATCCTTCTGGTCGGTACCGGAGGTGGCGACTGGCCGTGGAAAGCGTACCGAATGCCCTGTTTGTGAGACTTTATCAGCAGACGATGGGCTGCAGCAGAGGGGCTGACAGCAAAATCGAAGGGATTCACCCTCGACCCGTCATCGCTGGGCAAGGTCAGCACTGGGTGGGCAAGTCGTCTGGCCCGGCTGATCTGAGACTTGGCCGTGTCACATCCTGGGGAATATTACGGTCAGCCGAGCACATCTCGCCGCACTGGTGGGCAGGAACTCTTGACTGATCTACATGGCCCCTTGTCGTGGCGTAATGGAATCCGGAAGACATGCTCAACAAGGAGACGGAACAGGGTGCGCGACGCAGGACTGGAGCGCTCATTCCTGCCGTTGACCTGTTTAGGCGCTGTGATGCCCCATTCGGGCCGCTAGGTCTCAACTGTTGCCCTGTGATGGCTATCCTTGTGACTCGATGGAGAGGAGGGAATACGCGGCACTGGGGTTGCTCATGGAACAAAGTATGCCTGCTCTTGTACGCAACTTACCGCACATGCGAAACGTGCATGTTTTGACGGCATCGCACGCCTAGGGCAAAGAAAGAAAGTTGCGGGCGATTTGCAGTCAGGGCAACAGCAGGCAGAAGGCCCCCCCCCATGACGCGTTAATACAGGAGTACCCCATACTCGGCGAGTCGTTTGTATGATGGCACAGCGACCGAAGGAATGGCAAGGCCGGGTGCCGGGACTGGATATTACTAAACAATTTCGGTTGGGCAACAGAGTCGCAACGCGTGAACCACGACGCATACGGGTATATGGGCGTCGCGCGTTCTATTGACGAGAACAAAATAAGGCTTGCTGGCTTGCTGGCTTGCTTGCTGGCTTGCTGGCCTGGCCTGGCCTAGCAGCGATCGATTTCAGAGCAGACCATGTGTTCTTAAAGAAGGTTCTGTGTACCAGGTTGAAGCTTGCTCGCTTGAGATGCAATCCCAAACGGTCGGTTGCGCTTCACTTGGACCTGCACTCATTTTTGCTTGGCTAATCTACACGAGTAAGCCGGTAGACAGTTGGAGGTAGTATGTAGTGGTAGCAGGGAAGACCTTGAAAAGGTTCAACCGACGCAATCGCCAGTCGCCCGTTCCCAGCCGATACTTGGCTAGTGCCACATGGATTGATTGCAGCTGGGTCAAGTCGGGCACGGCGGTTTTTTTTGTTTTTCGTCGGTTCGCGTCCATGCGCAGGCGTTTTGCGTGCACACTGCACAGTGGTGGGTGGGGACGAGCATTGCGCCGTTAGGCCTATCGAAGACGCAAAGGAGGAGAGTTGTTTTGCTGGAGCTTGGTGCAAATCACCGTTGGTTTGAGGCCGCTGAGCGCTTATCCGGTGTTTCTAGGATGATCGATGGCAGGTGTCGCTAGCGAGGACAGCAGGCGGCGTCATGGGCGTGTGTCCCCAAAAAAGTGCTCATACGACTCGGAAGAAGACCGGTAGATCGACTAGCTATTCCTGGAACGACGACCAATCAGAGGCGTGCATATCAGGCAGCCTTGCCATCTCCGCGTTGTCTTAGCTTCAGGCACTTTAGCCGGGGATACCCTGCGAAGCGTGGTGCGTCGAGCCAAAGTCGATATAACGGCTTTAATGTAGTGATTTGGCGACTGCGGTGCGCAGGACAAGACGTTATTTCATTAACCCGGGTGTCGCGCGAGGGGGGGGGGTGAAGACACAGAGGCAATTTGGCGCGAGCAAGGAGGGCGAGGAATGGGTACTGAGCAGAGCGGACAAGCCTCGGCGGGCGCGGTGGTGAAGATGCCGCTGGTGTGCCGGTTCGTGAAAATGAAACGCCGAGAGGATCGCTCGGATGGCACCAGGGAGGCAGTGTGATGGTCGCAAGCGTGTTCCCGCTGGCGATGGGTCGTGATGCGGCCCAGGTATGTGTACCCCTGCCACGCCCACGCGCCCTGAGATCAGACACCGCTCTTGGCTGGTGCACTTCCGGGGAGATCACACGGCGGTGGCAGAGCAAGGCCGGCCAAGCAAGCAGGCCAAGCAAGCAGGCAGACAAGCAGGCAGGCAGGCAGGCAAGCAGGCAGGCAGGCAAGCAGGCAGGCAAGCAGGCTGACGAGTGCGAGAAGGGCGTTGGAGGACCGGGCGGGCCGGCAGGCAGGCCGACAGGCATACAGAGGGGAGCAAGCCTAGGACGGAGATTGATTGCTCGCAAAAGCGTCGGGTGGGATGGGCAGGGCGCGCGAAACCCAAAGGGTCGGTTGTGATACGCGCGAGTCGCCGTGGGCCGCAGTGGGAAATTTTCCATCAACGGAAAAACCCTGATGTTCCTGTCCGTGCACGTGATCCAGGGTTCGCAGGCGGTGGCGGCACACGGTGGCCGACAGACGTCGAGCGTGGCACAGGCTGGGCAGGCATTCTAGACGACGGCCATGGCCATGGGCTGTGTGCCGTAACGGAACGCGAGACATGTGACGGAGGGGGTAGATTGAGTTGGAGAGCGGCGCCGTGCGACGCAGCCTTGGGGGGTGCACATGGGTGCGGCGGGGCGTGGAGGTGGTGGTGTGAATAGTGAATAGCGACGACAGCGACAACAACGGCGACGGTGACGGCGGCGGGGAGAGCGGCCGTGGTGGACTGGCCGAGTGGTGCTCGAGTGGACGGAGTGGACGGGCGGTGCTTCGAGAAGGCGGGCTAGCGACATGGAAAAATGTCGCGAGGCCGTGGTTGGGTGGGCGGCATGTCATCGGCTACAGGTCGCGGTGGGCAGATGGTGACAGCCAACGTGGCCCCCCGGGATTAGCTGCATGCGCTTGTTGCTGATCGACCCGCCTCTTTCTCAAAGATCCTCCACAGTCGAACGAGGCCAAGCCATGGCTCAACGCCGCCATCCCGCCCTGGCGGTGCCGCACCACACGAGACGACGTCGCTACCTGTCGTCGTGCTGGTCGTGTTTGTCGCGGCTTCGCCTACTGGGACGGGCGCGGGCTGGGGTCGGAGACGGTCGCTGGAAAAAGGCATCAGCCGTCGAGCCGCTCTGGCGTCCCGCGCGTGCCTTTGGTGCTGAAACCAGCCTGTGTGTGTGTGTGTGTGTACGCATGGCAGCGCACGCGGCCTGATGGAGGGGGGGTTGGTGTTAGTTTGACCACGACGCCAACATGCGGTGAGCCTGTGGTTGGCGGCGAGTCAGCCTCGCCGCGCATCGTCGACGGCCTGGGACCAAGACGACGGCGACGCGACGACGAGAGTGAGTGAGTGAGTGAGTGAGTGAGTGAGTGAGTGAGTGAGTGAGTGAGTGAGTGAGTGAGTGAGTGTGTGTGTGTGTATGCGTGTGTATGCGTGTGTATGCGTGTGGGCGGCCGTAGCCATGGTCCGCCGCCCGTGTCGATACTGCCAGCACAGCAGCAGCAGCATAGTGATAGTCGCTCGCATACTAGGCTCCGCCCGCGGCTGCGGTCTTGGGCGCCCTCGAATATCAGCCTGGCCTCTGGTATTTTCTTTTATTTTCTGGGGGGGGCTCCATTGCAGGCCAATCAGCAGTCTGCCGAATGCACCAGGGCTGGCCGCAGCATTACAGGGCTTTGGCAGCCCCAGGGCGCTTGGCTCGCTTCCGCACTCGGTGTCGATGAGGCAAACTCTGGCGAAACAGCGTGCGCGGCCCATTTGGCACAGGGCGGCACTCGACGAGCTCGTTTAAACCATGTTGGCGGTGCTCAGGTCGTGGCGGGCCTGTCTCATGTTGCTCTCTTGCACTTGTGTGCATCCCAGCACCTGTCTGCCGTTCCAACGCTGCGTGCACCCCCTGCCTGAATCCTTCGCCTGGCTGCCTGCCTGGCTGCCCGCCTGCCGCCGTGCAGTGCTGAACTCGAGGGAACGCGAGGGAACTGTGCATGGCTCGAATCTCGAGGGGCCACGAGTGCTCCGCTGCCGTGCCCGAGCAGCCGTGCAGCCAAATGGAGACTACATGGCACATGGAGAAATGAGGCAGATGCTAGATACATGGAGAGACAGGGCGCGATGGACGAGCACCCACCGCCCTCATCTCTCTCCAGCGCCGGCCTCTCCACCTTGAGCGCCAGCACCAGCACCAGCACCAGCACCAGCAGCCGTCGGCGACGCACGGCTCCCAGGCCCGGCGCCCTGAGTCGCCATCCCTCTCCGGCGGCAGCGGCAGCGGCGTGTGTGGGAGTGGGAGTGGCAGTGGGAGCGGGAGAGGGAGAGGGTCGCCGAGGGCGCAGCAGAGACGAGTGCGAGGGCCATTTCGGGCGGGGGGTTGTTCCGCTCCGTGCAGCCACCAGCCAGCGCGCGCGCGAGAGAGAGAGAGAGAGAGAGAGAGAGAGAGAGCGTATGTGTGTGTGTGTGTGTGTGGTGGGCGTGCGTGTGCGTGTGCGTGCGTGTGTGAGAAAGAGACACACAGCCGTCGGGGCACCTTCACTCGCTGCCAGCCTCCCCCCCCCAGAACACCGCACCCTCCACCCTCCACCCTCCACCCAGCGCCCGCATCAGCACCAGCACCAGCACCAGCAGCCCACGCACACACACACACACACACACACACACGCACTCACCCACGCCTGCGCGCGCCGGGCTAGCTTGCTTGCTTCCGACCAGCCCACGAGGATTCTCCTCGGGTTTCTCCTGGAACGGTCGATCTGCAGTGCATCGCGGCCTGTCCTTGGATCTCGACCAGGGCCCCTGTCCTGGCGTGTCCGAAAAGCGCTCCTGCGCCGGCGCAGCGTCGATTGGGCGGCCTGGGAGGGGTGGGCGCATCGCTCGGCCAAGGCATTACTACGGGTCGTGCACATCTTGACTCTAAACCGCCTTCGTCTGTCATCTGCATTGCCGTTGCAAGGGACTGAGCGCCGGGCTAAGTGCAGTTGGAGGTGGGCTTTTTGCCAACGGTCCGCCGCCTCATCGCCCGCTCAAACGCAATTTGGACAGGGAACGACAGGTCCACCGAAGGCGCTACGGTGCGAACGGGCTTTGTGCTGAATCTCGCCAATCCGTGGGACATTGTACTTGAATGCTGCAGGCCCGAATTCCTGGCTCGACTACTACTACATCTGCCTGTACCCGTCGCTCAGACTACCCTTCCATCTTCGTCGTCACCACTCCTTCACCCTCACCACCCTGCCCTGCCCTGCCCTGCCCTGCCCCTCCACCATCCCATCCCACCCGTCTCTGCCAGACAGAGCGCCCTTCCTGTTACGCAGCCACTGCAGTGACCCGTGACCCGTGCCCTTCTCCATGGCAATGCATCTCGCCAGTATGGTACACGGCAGCGTTCGGGACCGTGAGGCGTTCCAACACCCACAGCACCCGGCCTACTACCAGCAACCGCAGCCTCGCGGATATGCCATGTCGGGTGTTGCGGCCTCGTCATACCCTCTACAGGCACCCGCACACCCGCAGCACGTCGACCAACAACACCAGGCACAACAACAACAACAGCAGCAGCAGCAGCAACAGCAACAGTACCGCCAGCAACAGCAACAGCAACAGCAACAGCAACAGCAACAGCAACAGCAACAGCAACAGCAACAGCAACAACACCAGCAACACCAAGTACAACACCAGCACCAGCCTCAAAAACAGCAGCAGCAGCGGCCCCAGTCGCCGCCCTCGCCGCCCGCCGAGGAGAAGAAGCCCTCGCTGCCATCCATCTCGAGTCTCCTCGAGTTTGCTGGCAACGACAAGACGGCGTCATCTGACTCGGGTAAGCTCTCTCCAAGGCGCCTCCTCCCCTGACCCTTTTTGCTAACCGCCTTTGCAGCCTCCCAAAGCCCTCAATCACAGCATCGCCAGTCGTCATCGCCACAGCTGAGGCAGGCACAGCAGCAACAGGCAGAGGCAGGCGCAACCCAACCACAGCCCCAACAACAACAGCAGCAGTCACAGCCCCAGGCCACTCGCCCCGAGCAATTCACCGCATACACGCCAGCCTCGGCGCCCGCCACTTCGAGAATGACTCTGCCCCCAACTCCGCCAATGCACCCAGATGTAGCCCACGACGGCAACCAGTCGCCCTCGGCCGCCTCGAACCACTCTGCTGCCTCGACGCCCTACTTTGTCGGTGGTGCCCTCAACAACATGGAGCCGCATCAGCAGCGACAGTCGTTTTCCGTGCCCTCGATGAAGCGCGAGTCGATGCAGCAGTCGCACTCCATGTCGCCCTACAGCACCTCGGTCTACGGCCAGTCTCCCTACCAGTCGTCACCCGGCGCCGCCTCGTCGGCCTCGTTCTACTCTCCTGAGCAGCACTCTTACAACAGCTCTCAGCTGTACACCCAGCGTCCGCTGCCGTCCAACTTCCAGCCACACTCGATGCCGCTGCCAGTACCGGTTCCCAGCCCGGCCGCCAACGGCTCCAACCCGTGGCAACACCACCACTACATCAGCACGTCGAGCCAGTCGCAATTCCCCCAACCACAGGACCGCT